ACCAGGCTGGATGGCCAGCTAAAACCAGCTAACCAGCTTAGGCTGTTTTTTTGTTGTTGTTGTTGTTGTTTTTTGTAGGAGATAAAAGGTATAACTTTGAGAGAACATTGCCAGAACGTTAGTCAGTACGTTCTGAGAATGCTTCCTGTTAGCCGGGCTGTTAGCCGATTCACAAGGACAAACACATTTCACAGAACAGCTGCTAAATGTCACAAATGATGACCTCAAAATTACCACTCTCACAAAATACCGTGGTGTGCATTTATTCCGAAACGTTTCTTATGCTATCATGTATTATCATACATGTCAATCCAAAATATGACGTATTTTTCTCGTTTTATCTTTTTTTCTCATCCTGTTCAAAGGTGCTGTAAATGATTTCCGGGACTCTGTCTAAATGACTACACGCTAAAATGTTCTGCCACTATGATTACCTCAAATACACAAGGCATTCGCTACTGTAATGACTGTCATTCAGAGGTAGATTCATTCAGAATATTACTCAAAATGTCTCTCTATGGGCAGAATATGGTTAGCGAGTCTCCAAGAAGCACCAGTTACAGAAACGTCGTTTTACACGAAGGACTATTAATGCACCCATATACGCCATTTTTTGGCACAGTGCCTGTTTACGCAGTTTAATGGGGCTAACCTTTCCCGTCACACACTTAGAGGCACTTCTCTCTGGGATTCAACAGTTGTGAAGGGCAAATTCAAATTGGTACACCACCTCCCCTTAAATGAAAGGAAAAAGTCCCTTCATGTGTCACTTTAAGTAAGGGATAATGTACATCCAGCCGGTTGTTATCTCAGAATAAACCCCGACAGGGTGATCAGGACTTGTAGGTCTTGTATCAGCCTGAAGGGGTTTATTCTGAGATAACAACCAGCTGGATGTACATTATCCCGCTTATCCCGCTTATAAAAAGATTTGTTTTTACCATATATGTTGAAATTAATGCTGAAGTCTTCCATTGTAACACGCGGTGGTTAAGTGTTTTCAGCCACAAGATGGCGCCATACAGTTAACGATAGCGGAGTGACTCGTTAAGCATATAAGTAGTACCGGTCAAGATAACTCGTAGTACCCGGATGAGCGGTGTGTTATTCAATTTGGCGGTTGTTATCTGGGAATAACATACCGCTGGATGGCGCGATTGACCAATCAGAATCAAGTATTCCGAAGAGTCGTGTAATAACTGTGTTTAACATGTTAAAGTAACACTAAGAGCAACCTGAACTTACAAGAATACAACATCTACAGCACGGCTGCTAAACAGAGAAGGTGCAATTTCACACCGTACCTCCAGAAAGTAGGAATATGTTATATGTGACATGGAAAGAAGAGACACAAATCTATTTAGCTATTTGTAATCTGAGCTGCAGAAAACGGCATGAAAGCATCTGTATGTGGTTTGAAAACCAATTAAAATCCGATTTTTGGAAATGCATTTTGGTCTGAAAGGTCAGATCACATTTCAAATAGTATTTTTGTGTCATTCAGGATGTGATTTGTATAATGTCAAACACAATGCAAGTCAAACTAAATGATTTATTATTATTATTATTATTATTATTATTGTTTCACATTTTGTTTGTTTATACCCATCACAATTTCAATGTAGATGGTCTTGCATAAACAAACAAACAAACAAACAAATGTATTTATTTATTTATTTGATTGTTTGTTTGTTTCAATCGGGGCCAACTGTAATTAAATAGTGACAAGTATAAATAAGTAAATAAATTAGAATCTCACATTATTCAAGAGGAATTAAACCAACTATTTGCATATTTATTTATTTGTTTCTTTCTTTCTTCATTTATTTTATTTACCATTTGTAATAAAAACAATAACGGGTATAAATACAGACAAAACATAAATAAATAAATACACACCCTAAGATTTATACTTTCCTTAACGCAGTTATTTTTGTAAGAATTCTTCTACCGTTATGTGCATGAGCTCCTCTCCTTGTTCAATTTTATCTAGTCAAATAAATTTCACCTGTCAACTACCAATTTATATTTACAGCACTTTATTCTTCTGAGTTTTCTCAGTTTTCAAGATTTAAAGTTGCATTCCTCATCCCGGCCTGTCATAACAGCCAAGCAAGACGACATTATCTCGCTAACCTTGTAGCTCAAACCCTGCCATGTCTGCTCCTTCCTGAGTGACAGCAAATATGTCTGAAATGAGTTGTGGCTGCTGAAGACTATTTTCCTGACAGTGATGCAGCATGCTTTGTCAGTCAGGTCTCCACCTTGGTCCTTTAGAAAATGACCTCTGACAAACGCAACAGAGTCCATACATCAAGGTCCGTCCTCGCGTCCTGCAGTGCGTAAAGTTACGTGACAGACATTCTGTCATTCAGAACGTCAGCAATGGACCACTTAATGTGATGTGTTATTGCTGCATTTTTCAAGTTTTAACAAACAAAAATAATGTGTCATGCAAGTGACTGACAAGTGGTGAAACAATCCTCAGGAGCACGGGCCGAGTTTATGAGATGTATGACAATGTGTCAGGCCTACAACAGCTGAAGGGTGCCATCTTCCCTCGGGTAAACTTTCTCAAACTTTTGCCTTTTTACTTTCCTCCGGAGAAGATGTACAGCTAAACTCTCTGAAGTGCTGAAGTTTTAGAATTTCTCTGCACTGGCGCTAAGAAGAATTACTTTCGTGCTATTTAAAAGAAAGTGTCAATGCATACATTTATGCAAACCAACTAAGACAGAATTCTGAGTTCTGATACTAAAAATATAATAAAAATACAATAAATACTCATTTTAAATATTAATAAGTATCATTGATATTGATCATTAATTAAATAATACATTTATTTATTATAAATTATTATTATTATTATTATTATTAAATACAAACTTTCACAATTAATGCAGATTGTTTAAAATACTAATGCTAATAAGTATCATTGTTATTGATAATAAAATAAGACCTATTAAATAAGCACCAGAAATAATAATAATAATAATAATAATAATTATTATTATTATTATTATTATTATTATTATGGTTATTATTATTATTATTATTATTATACCATAATAACAAATAAAAATTATTTACAAAAAAAAACAACTTGCATGCTTTTTCCATGTTCCACTATAACATGCTTATTCCAGGCGCCACATAAAATAATAAGTAATATTTATTAAGTGATAAGTGGAAGTAGTAGCAGTAGTAGTAGTAGTAATAACAATAATAATAATTAAAAATTTAATCAAACCACTCCCCATTATTTCCTGTCCATACTGTCAAAGAAAGTGACAAAATAGGGCTTAAATGAAGGATGATAATAAAAAAAGCAAGGCTTAGCAAGTGCAATTGGCCATCAGTCGCCTTTGACACTAAATCTGAGGAGACTGAGACGTCATTGACTGACTCATCGTCACACTGCGATGAGAACACACGCAGCAGAGAAGGTCAGAACAGGAGGATGAAGAAAACGAGGGCTGAAGGAAAGGCAGGGGGATGAGGAGGAGGAAGAAGAGGGTTTGCGTCAGGTACTAAAGAGCTTATTGTTCAAGACTGAGTAGTCGATTGTGAAATGACAAGCATGACGGTGAAAGGATTGGTCTGCCGATTCCAATTGTCTGGCAGGACTAGAACTGGAGCTGAGTTTGAGAGAAATCAGGACTGACTTGAAAGAGTCATGCTGGATGAGACATAGGGCTTGAAAATGACATTAACCCCCATTTACAAAACCACAGGAGCATGCTGGGACTGGCTGGGCTGAGCCTGCATGTGTCCAGCTGCTCATTCATCCCTGCATTTAAACCATATATGTCAGGGGAAACAGGTGGAAATGGAAACAGAAGGTCAGGACATACAGTATACTGACAGCATGTGTGCACACATAGTCTTGCAGAGCATAAAAATGACTATTACAATGCAGGCATTTTGACCAAGAACTGTCCAAATTGACAGGAAGAAACCTTCAAATGGCATGTGAACTGACCCGTTTCCTTTTAATGACATATATTCATAAACCAGATATAACCCTTTGACCAATCAGGTGAGCTCAAGGACATCTGGTTCAATTGTTTGAGGCTGTGTGTCCACCAAAATATATTTTTTCCCCCTTGAGGCTAGCATACTTTTTAATTGTTTTCAAAGGGAGCACAGCATATTTAAATAAGCTGACAGCGTGACGAAGCGGTTCACTTTGCGTTTTTTTTCTGGTCGCAAAGAGAAAATGCTTAACTTTGGGTAAAAGGCAGTGCTCATCAGTGCCAGTCGTCCAATCACAGTGAAGGAGGGCGGGGCAAATATCGCCAACCGTCACATTCTACTGGAGTAGAACGACTGAACAACAATGGAGAAAGCCAAAATATTGCTGGTCTCCAAGTATCCATGTCTGTACCATATGACATCTCCAGACTATAACAATATTAATATAAAAAAATATGGCTTGGGGGAACATTTGGTTGGGTCTAGCTAAACGCTGCGCCTCCAAAGCAATCTCAAGCGCCCACAGATGGGCATTTTCAAAAGAGCACCTGGCATTTTCATCTGGCTAAAAACACTTTGGTGGACACACGGCCTTAAAGTGTCTCAAACTAAACCCTTAAAAGTGATAGTTCAACCAAAAATGAACCTGCACTGTACCTGCATTCTTCAACATATATCATTTTGTGTTCAACAGAAGAAAGGAATTTTCTTTGGTTTGGAACAACTTGAGGGTGAGTAAATGATGACACAATATTTATTTTTGGATGAGCTATCCCTTTAAAATTGTTCAAAGATTAAATGCCATAAACATCACAATCTTTGGCAAATCAATTAGATCTTCTTGGAGCAACCTGGAAACTACCAGCAGACTGATAAAAGCCATTTACAAACTCCAGAACACGAGTAAAGTCAGCTGTTCAGATCGGAGTTAGCTGGTTTGAGAACGCTCTGGTCATTTTTGTGTGAAATGATACACCAGGGCCATCTGAGGCTAAGACTAATATGTGTGTTTTTTATCAGCTTACCCATCATTCTACCCATCATGGTGGGTCGGGGGGTGTGGTTGTCATCCAGGCTCTCTCCGGGATACAGCGACTGAGAGATCCGTCGCTCATGTTCGTCTCGTGGAGAGTTCAGAGGCACAGGCGGGCTACCTGGAGCCTCCTGGGAAGAAATAGAAAAAAAAACACTTTTTAAATTTTTTTTATACAGGCTTATTTTTAATCTTTCGGCTGCTTTATTTTTCTTGCTTTAAGCACAATTGTCACAAAATGTTGTCAGATGCATGCCTAAAACAATTTAAAAAACACAGAACAAAGAGTCGAATAAATGAATTTCTAACCCCCCCCTGGTTTTCAACAACAAAGACAGTTGTTGCACAGCTTGTAGAGTACATCTTCAGTATCTCATCCCCAGGCACTAGTGGTAATAGAGGTGTCACTGTGCTCTTTTGATTAGGCTGTTGGTGAGTGTGGTCTTTTGTGAGCTCTCATGTCCTTAGCTTTATATACTTCCCCCATGGGCCCACATTGCGTGTGAAAGTGCAAGGCTGCACTTTCTCCCAAAGGAACTTCTCCTGAAGGAGGCTGTGTTGAGAATGAGGGGCTGCAATAATCCCTCACCCATTCTCACCTCCTGGGCTCTGGCAACGAGGAAGACCAAGATCCAAGCTCTCGGAGCAATGGCGACAAGGACCAATGGGAATGTGCACAACCTAGCAAGGTATCTTACGTGCCTCAGTGTTCTCGATAGTTGCCAAGCATTTTCTTTCTTGCCCAATTCATCCATAATTCTACATATCCATCTGTCCATCCATCCATCCATCCAACCATCCATCGTTCTACCTATCCATCTATCTATTCATCAAACGCAAAAACGAAAAACCGCAATTCACAAGCCCGTATTGAACCGTGGATGTCGTACTGAAAGGTTCAATATTATATTGAGGATTGTGGCATCCCTACTGTCTGTCTGTCTGTCTGTCTATCTATCTATCTATCCATCCATCATACTATCTTTCCAACCATAGGGTGTTCTCGATAGTTGCTAAGTGTTTTCTTACTGAGCCCACAACCAACCCTCCTTTGATATTCTAATATCTAGGTATGACTCAGGTCCCTCTTTCATTTTAGGTCTATTAGATGTTTTACTTGATTTATAGTATGCAAACATTATACGTCTGATAGCTTAGGAATGTAGCTGCACAATTTGGGGTATCATTGATGTTTTTAGCACAAATGATACAGGGTGCATTATGCACCAAGGTTAAATGCTTGTAGGGTAGGGGTTTGTCTGAATATCTAACCAAATTGTGAGTAATAATAATAGGGATTACTACTTTATCTGTCAAAAACATAGACAGTTCTAACTCCAAGAAAATACCAGTGTCTAAGAGTCAACTTGAGTGGAGGCAAAGTTGCTGGAAAACCAAAACCTCTGGGTGAGATGAACACCATGCTCTGATTGGCTAAGATCAGTTACAGTAACGATCAGGTACTGTAAGTAGAGTGCGCTCGGATCCTCTCTGTGTGACTTTCCCAGACATACTAGAGGAGGCCTATGGAGGAATTAGACTGATGTCTTCTGATCAATAGCAACCAAAAACAATTTTGAGAATCTCGATTCATCCTGGACAGCAGTATGCCCATCACACAAGACACATCTTACTCCGCTCAGGAGCTCTGTGGCGCTGCATTGGGGACAACAAATGCTGTATTCGGGAGGGAAACTACCAGACTGTTTAATATAGATGAGATGTTTAATGAAGTCTAGAGCTGCTGACTTATCTCGCTGGGCTTGATAAAACAGCACGCATACTGACGCATAGAAGGGGTCAACGCAATTACAACTTCATCCGACGCAAGTGCCACAGGCAGCCTGACAATAAACCGCTCAGCCTGACTCTCCTCAATGAGCTTTTCATTACAAAACCAGGATTTGTTTTATGAACCTTTGTTAAAGTCTGATGGTCGTGACAGAATGAGAGGAAGATCAAATGGGGAAGATGGGGAAGTATTTCTTAAAGAAAATAGAGGGAGATTGGTTGAACTGATCTGCTTGTGGGAGACAGATCTTTAGCGGCACAGTGTTTGGGAGGGAAAGGAGGTGAACAGTTATTACGAACCCGTTTATTCTGCCCTCTCCAGCTGTAATCTCCCCTAATCTAGTGCTTTCTCAAACAGGATTAGCTGTGGATTAAAACACCCTCTTCTAGTCTGTCTTCCGGCGAGGCTGTGATTGCCAGTCTGCAGGCTAGTTTGTCCCGAATTTGTCATTCTACCTATCCATCTATCCATCATTCTACCTATCCATCCATCAAACCACCTATCATTTTACCTATTAATCTATCCATCTATCCATCCATCCATCCACCCGTACATCTGTCTGTCCATCCATTCATCATTTTATCTATCCTTCCATCATTCTACCTATACACCCATCATTTTACATATCCATCCATCCATCATTCTACCTATCGATCCATCCATCCGTCCGTCCATCAATTTATCTATCCTTCCATCCATCCATCCATCCATATAACTATCCATAATTCTATCCATCCATCTATCCATCATTCTAACCATATGACTATCCATTGTTCTTCCTATCCATCCATCATTCTACCTATCCATCCATCCATCTGTCCTTCCATCAATTTTTCTATCCTTCCATCCATCCATCCATATAACTATCCATCATTCTACCCATCCATCCATCCATCCATCCATCCTTTTACCTATCCTTCCATCCTTCCATCATTCTACCTATACACCATAATTTTACATATCCATCAATATATCCATCTATCCATCATTATACCTATCATTCTACCTATCCATCCATCCTTCTGTCCGTCCATCAATTTATCTATCCTTCCATCCATCCATCCATATAACTATCCATCATTCTAACCATGTGACTATACATCGTTCTTCCTATCCATCCATCATTCTACCTTTCCATCCATCCATCTATCCTTCCATCCATCCATCGTTCTACCTATCCACCTATATATTCATCATTCTACCTATCTATCCATCCATCCATCTACTAGTATATCCTTCATAAAAAATGCAAATAAAAAACCTAATTATGAATAAATGCAACAATTGAACACTAGTTTTTTTCATATTGTTGCCTTAACCATGTTAAAATCACTGTAATACATAAACTTGTATTCATATTTTACAGTAAAACACAGTTGAGAAAATCCTCTCTGACCTTGGACCGCAGGGAGGTTCTCCTTGTCTATATAGCAGCATCATATAGTCATTCTAATCCTTTCTCTAACACACACACACACACACACACATTTCCAGACTGGGCTGGCCTCCTGATGCTGTTTATGAGGTCTTAATCCAGCGCCCCTCTCCGCCTCTCAGCCTGTAATTACAGGTCTTATGCTGTCACATACAGCCTCTGCTCTGTCCAGCTCTCTCCAGAGACCCAGACAGCCTCATTAGCCCTCTCTATCGCATCTCTCCAATCCCATTCTCTCTCTCTCTCTCTCTCCCGGCATTCATTTGCTCGGCTGTATGAAGAGCAGATGAACCCCTTATGGCAGATCTGTTGTCCTCTCTCACATATTTTCAGTCTATTTTTCAAGTGGATTATGACGGCTACAAGCGCCCGAGGCTGTGCAGCTGTGGGTCGAACTGCTCAAATTTACCCTGTGAATACTGTGCTTTTGAGCCAGTGACAGTTTATTATGTGTCCCCATAATGGGTGAATTAATTCTCTCAGCGGTGAGAGTGAGGGCACTGAATTGGTACAACTGCTTTAGTTAAAGGAGCCAAATTTCACACAATTAAAGTCCATATATAATACAACATTAGTCAAGGTTTCTTGCATCCAAAACATCATAATTTAGTGTATCCTGACCATTTAGCATTGAAAAGGCTGTGTTTTGATACTGTACCTTTCAGACTTATTTATGTACAGTAAGTGACCTTTATTGTGATTGGCTAACCTTCGTGAACTGTGTGGGACCATTGTTTGAATACTGGACATGTGTTGATATATATATGATATATACTATTTATTTATTTATTTTTAATGTACTTCTTGTTTTATTTTATTTATTTTGTTTTAAAATAAATAAAATTAAATAAATAAGAATAGTTAAGTACATATACAGTACATATACAGTAAAAGGCTCATTATAGTTAATTAAAACTGAAACTAAAACTAAAATCATTAAAAAAAAATGTATTTCAACATTTCTCATTCTAATTAAGTTTAGTTTGTAATTTAATTTGATGTGATAAATTAACTAAAAAAATTTATAAAAAATTAAATGCACACATAAAAAAACCCTACTAAAAATATAAAAAAATTAAAATAAAAAAATTAAAATTGATTCAAAATATCCATAAAAACAATAATAGTATCTCGATGATACTAAAAAAAAAGAGAGATAATATATATATATATATATAGTAGTACTTATTTGATGGCATTACAAAATTTATTTTTACAGACAACAAAGACCAAATAAAAGCTACGCTGATCTTTTCTGTACACAACTCTCTCGGTTCACCTTGTGAAGTGTGAGTGAGTCAGATTGAGTGGCTGGCGTGACACCCAATCTGCACAATGCCACTGTGCGTTAGTACGCTGCCCTTTCATTCAATCAATTACTTTCTCAGGTGCGCCAATTGAGTTTCCCTGCTGAGCTGTGAGAGGATTACAGAGAGCGTCTTCAATTCTGCTCCCTGGACGCCTCCAGTCAAACAAATCTGCCTCGTACACATACCCACCCTTTCCTATTCACAGTTTCTTTGTGGCACAAAACTACATTTCCCATGATCCTTCTGTCCCTCCTCATGAATCCCAGTCACAGTGATATGACATCAGTAAGTCACTGTGAACTCATGTCAAAAGGGTAAATAAACTAATGAAGTACAGATCCAGAAGTCCTTCTCTTATTGCCTGGTGTGTGTGGATGTGTCCCATCATGCCCCGCTTTGCCCCGTGGAGCGGCAGTCTGGCTCAACGCTAATAAAACCATAATTTAGCAGTCAGACTGATTGATAGCTCTCTCAAGACACAATCGATCAGACCCTCATTTCAGCAGGACAGTTTTCTGCAGCCAGCATGGCACTTCCTGTTGTCAGCTCTCATGAGCGTCATGTGGACACAAAGCACATGGGTTGTGTTTATGC